TGCTCCATCTGGCCCTTCCCCCTTCCACCCACCTGTTTCCCACCTTTTGGCCATCCCACTGAGCATTCCCAGGCCTAGTCACAAAGGGAAGGAAAAAGATAAGGGGCAAAAGGCAGGAGAACAAAGGAATCCTAGGACATATAAAAAGGGCAGAACAGCTCGCCTCTTGGGATACCAGGATACCAGCTATGGTCCGCTTCTCCCTCCTGGGAGAAATCTATGTTACCCCTTTTTAAATAAACCCTGCTTTATCTGCTTGCCTCAGTGTGCTTCTCTAACATTCAAACTTCAATGTGTGAGGGAGCAGGACTCAGTCACCCATAACTGGCAGTATCAGTAGCACCCAAACCAAACACATATGCACATACAAACCAAAGAAAACAAAAGACTTGTATCTAAAAGTTATAGCAACAGATAAGAATTTTTGGGTTGGGGATGTGGCTCTGTGGTAGAGGACTTGCCTTGTTTGCATGAGGCCCTGGGTTCCATCCCCAGCACTGAGAAAGGGAAAACAAAGCTTGCATAAGGACCTCAGTGGGAGACAAGGCAGGAAAACATCTAGAGAATCACCCTAATTTATACAGAGCTGACTGAGCAGAGGCTTCTTCACCTAAGCATTTCTCAGTTAATATTTTTCACTTAGTGACAACAAAGAAGTTCTATGATGGACAAAGAATGTTCTTCCTGGGGAACCCACAAAGTTCCATCTTTGACAGTGATTCCTAAAAACAGCAAACGTTTTTGGAGATATGTTAAATGTCAGGCATCAGGCTAAGCCTTACATACTTGATCTCTTTTAAGCCTCATAAAACCTCTAAGAAGGAGGGTCTGTTTGTTTGTTTGCAGAGCTGGGGATTAAACCAGGATCCTGGGCTCTGATTGTGGCTCAGCAGTAAAGCRCTTGCCTAGCAAGTGTGAGGCACTGGGTTTGATCCTTAGCACCACATAAAAATAAAGAAATAAAATAAAGGTATTGTGTCCAACTTTCGATTAACAAAACAAAAACCAGAACCTCTGGCATGTGAGGGAAGAGCTCTACCATGGAGCTGCACTCTTAGCCCAAGAAGGAGGTATTATCATTCTTATGCACACATATTTCTAGTAAGTGGCCAGTGTTTTTGTGTGTGTGTGTGTGTGTTTGTTGAGGGTTGAGCCAAGGAGCACCTTACTGGTTTATCCCTGAGCTACATCCCCGGTCCTTTATCTAATTTTTATTTTGATACAGGGTCTCCCTAAGTTGGTCAGGGCCTCACTAAATTGCTGAGGCTAGCCTGGAACTTGCCATCCTCCTGCCTCAGCCTCCTAAATGGCTGGAATTACAGATATGCAACAGTACGCTGCGTAATTTTGCTTGGTTTTGCTGAGACATAACCTGTTAAAAATGAAATTATTTGGACACTGCTCATCCTTTACCTAATAGTAAAGTTACTTTATCTTCTATAATGGCTTACCTGAAGTTACGTGAGAGCCACTGCGCCAGCTAAGTGAGCAGTTTTAAACACAGTTCTATGCTAGTCTGCAACCCGTATCATTTTCTTAAGAATTTTCTTCCTCTTCGGAGAAAGATAGTGATTTCTGTCATTTACTCATATATATCCATTAATTCAAGAAATGTGCACCCTGAGGGCCTATCATGGGGCCGACCTTTGCCACGTTGTGCCTGAAAGGCGCGTGACTCACCTGAGGTGGAGATTCAAACAAGAGATTTATTGGGGGGGGGGGCTGCCTGAAGGGAAAGAAAAGGAGAGGCAGAGAGAGAAGAGGAGGGCAGAGAGAAAGAGAAACAGCAGAGGAAGAGAGCAGAGAGAAAGAGAGAGAGGAGAGAAAGGAGATGAAGAGGRCAGACAGCGTGAGCTTGAGAGCTTCCGCTTAACAAGGCTTGCGTAAGCCACGTGGCGGGTGCTGATTGGCAGGGTGACGCTCTTCCGGTTGGCGCCTTTTGGAGAGGGATAAGGGATTCCGTGATGTTCTCGCGAGATGGAATCTAGTCTYGCGAGGCGGAAGCTATACTTCAGCACGGAGTCTCCCACACACCCAACGTTGCCAATATACAGACGAACAAAATATCGGGGTTCTCACCTTTATGGAGCCTCTAGCTTAATGCTCTCACGGGACGACAATAAAGACCTTCAGGTCTCTGATGAGCAGTTGACCCAGCGTGTGCTGCGATTGACCATTTGAAAGAGATGAATAAAGATGACCTTTGACCTAGATTGTGGAATATAGATTGTGCACAGTAAATACGTAAAACTTTGGTTCAGACATGGAACTTGCAGCCTCATCAATGATGAAATGGGCAGAGTACAGCTTGCTCTTGTCAACTGGTTGCAATCGAAGGAGAAAATGTGTAAAAGCTGTTGTAAAATAGTCCACAAGGAGGAAAGGACTTTTCTTTCTTTTTAAAATTTTTTTAGTTGTAGAAGGGCACAATACGTGTATTTTATTTATTTACTTTTATGTGGTGCTGAGGTTTGAACCCCCGTGCCTCACACATGCTAGGCAAGCACTCTACAACTGAGCCATAACCCCAGCCCAGGAAAGGACTTTTCTTAAAAAAAAAAAAWAAAAAAAAAATGTTAAAGCCAAGACAGAATAATAAAATAAACACCTGGATACTCATCAAGTGGCTACAACAGTCATCAACTGATGGCCAATTATACTTTTCCTTAGTTACTCATCTCATTGCCCATTTTGGGGAGACAAATTCTCAATGACGTATCTTTTGCTYCACATATATACCTCTAAGAAAGGGACTTTTTTTTTTCTTTCTTAAAAATTTATTTATTTTTATGTGGTGCTGAGAATCGAACCCAGGGTCTCACACATGTGAGGCATGTGCTTTACCACTGAGCCATAACCCCAGCCCCCTCTTTTTTTGCTGAGAAAGTAATTTTTAAGGAAACACAGTCACAAATACTATTGTTACTCCTAAAAACCTAAAACAAATTTTCAGTAATTATTTTTTTTTCAAATATCATAATTTGATTCAGTGATCACATTTTCATTCTTATAAGCTGAATATCATTTTTGAAATCCATTCAAAAATCCAAAATTTAGGGCTAAGGATGTAACATGCTTTAGGCTCTTGCTTTGATCCTCAGCACTGCAGGAAAAAAAAATTTTCAAGATTGTGAAATTGGAAGATTTTTGAGTGTTAATGTTATGGTCAAAAAGTTTGGGAGTTTGGACCATTTTGGATTTTGCATTTTTAGATTAAAAATGCTTTACCTGTGAAGTCTATGCCAGAACTCCAAAACTGGAAAAAATCTGACATTTGAAATACTTTTAGTTCAACTAGGTGTGGTGGTGCAAACCTGTAATCCCAGTGGCTCAGGACGCTGAGACAGGAGGATCAGGAGTCCAAAGTCAGATTCAGCAATTTAGTGAGTTGCTAAGCAGCTCAGGGAGGCCATGTCTCTAAATAAAATACAAAATAGGGCTGGGGATGTGGATCAGTGATCAAGTGCCTCTGAGTTCAATCCCTGTGCCAAAAACAAAAAATGAAAAACAAAAACTTTTAGTTCCAAGCATTCCAGATAAGAATAGACAATATTCCAGATAAAAATAGACAATATTTCTATTGATTCACCAGGTGGTTCAGATACTGTTGGTCTGTAATAAAACTTCGGGAGGTAAGATTTGGCACTTCCTGCAGCCTGGATTTCTCTAACTCTATCCCTTATTCAAACTGTCTCAAAAAAATTTATATCAGTAGGGCTGGGGTTTTAGCTCAGAGTTAGAACGCTTGTCTAGCATGTGTAAGGCACTAGTTTTGATTCTCAGAGCCACATATAAGTAAAATAACGGTCCATAATTAAATAAAACAAAGGTCCATCAGCGACTAAAAATATATACAGATAAATAAATTTTATGTCTTCAGTTTGAATCATTATTTAGATAAGGCTCTCGTGTTGCATCTGGGTGCTGTTTTTGTTTTTTGTCTGTTTCTTGATATAGGGTCTGGCTATATTGCCCAAGCTGGTCTCCAACTCCTGGGACTGAAGGGATCCTCCCACTTCAGCAGGCTAAGTAGCTGAGACATTGCCACCAGGGCAGACGATTGCTAGGTCAATTTTAATCAGTAAATTCTCTTTTCATCTTTTAATTTTGCATTTTGTAGCTCTTAAAACTGAACAGTGCTTTTTAAAACTGATGTACATTAGAATCACCTGGAGATTTTGTTAAACCACCCATTACTGTTACTGTTTCCAGAGATTCCGTCAAGACTACATTTCTTTGCTTATTTATTTATTTATTTATTCATTTACTTTTTGGTGGGGGGTAAAAGAGATTGAACCCAGTGGCACTCAACCACTGAGCCACATCCCCAGCCCGCTTTTGTATTTCATTTAGAGACAGAGTCTCATTGAGTGGCTTAGTGCCTCGCTTTGCACTCTGATCCTCCTGCCTCAGCCTCCTGAGCTGCTGGGATTACAGGCCTGCGCCACTGCRCAAGGGAAAGGTACATTTCTASGGCTGGGGTTGTGGCTCAGTGGTAGAGCGCTTGCCTGGCATATGTGAGGCACTGGGTTCCATTCTCAGCACTGCATATAAATAAATAAAATAAAGGTCCATTGAKAACTAAAAAATATTAAAAAAAAAAAAAGACAATATTGATTCACCAGGTGGTACAGATACTGTTGGGGTGGGATAAAACTTTGGGAGGTACCCTTTGGCATGTCCCGCAGCCTGGATTTCCCTAACTCTATCCCTTACTGTGGTATCTTTCAACATCTCTATTTCCTGTCAAGGGAAATTTATTGAATTCCATGAAGGAGAGGATAACAGTTTAAAACTCAAGAGTTTGAAGTTAGATTCCCTAAGTTTAAATTTCGCTTTTGACCCTTCGCTGCCAGGTGACTTTGGGCAAAAACCACTCCATGGCTCTGTGAGACCCATATCACAGGAGAAATGTGAGGATGAAAGGAGAAAATGTTGAGAAATAAAGGGCTGTCCCTTTAACGAGAGCGTGGCCACGTGACCCACGGGGGTCACATGGCTCATGGAACAACATGGCTGCGCCCGCGCCAGGGCCGGCTGGTGAACGCCGCGCCGCGCCCGCTCGCGAGCTCCTGCTGCCGCTGCTTTTGCTGATGTGCGGGGCGGCGCGGGGCGAAGAGGCAGGGGCCGGTGCGGGCGCGGCGTCCCTCGCAGGCTCCTGCGGCTGCGGCACGCCTCAGCGACCCGGGGCCCCCGGCAGCTCCTCAGCCGCGCACGGGTACTCGCGGGAGGTGAACGCCCCGAGCGCGCTCCCAGGAGAGCGGCCGCTCGCTCCCGCCAAGGTGCGCCCTCGACTCCCCTCTGGCGGGTGGGGGGSCTGCCGCGCTCTAGGACCCGGTCGCAATGGGCGCGGTCAGGGGAAGGTTACCGGAAGGCAAGTCGAGGCTAGAGCCACACCCGCGCCACGCACCTGCCGCTCCCATTCGTCCGTGCGCTCCTCCTGCCCGCCCCTACCGGGCGGGCTGCGTCCTGAGGCTCCGCGTGGTGGTGAGCCCTGGACTCAGTTCCCCGCCTTCCTCCCTCCCCCGTCCTGTGGTCCACCTGAGAACTTTAAGTCGGATAAGTTCGGGTTAAAATTCCCAATTCCTCTCTTACTAACTGTAGGAAAATTAGGCTCAGCGTCTCCGACTTTGCACTGCACTGATTTGCAATCGCCTGCCTTGTATGGTGTGCTACCTGAGGACAAGGACTTGGACAGTTTATTCTGTCACGTTGAACACTAGGAAGGTCGCAGCCAACTGGTTGCTTTATTATTTCTTACTTAACTGTTATGTCTTGCACAGTGGCTGGTTGTGGAGGGGCTAGGATTTGTACAGAATAAACAGCAATAACAACTGGTGGTACTGATCCTACCTGCCAGGGACTTTGCATTCCGGTACATCTGTATACCTCGTGTACCCTATTCTTTTTTCCATCCCAATTTTCTTTCCTTTGGGATTTTTTTTTTTTCCTGGACAATATTCAGGACTTGGGTGAGAGGTAGCATCCACTGCTGGTTTACCTGACCTCCTCTGCTTCCCTCCCCTTCATTATTTCCATATCCTGTCCCAGTAGTATGTGTTTATTTTGACATAACAATTACTAAGAATATTTGTCTCTTCCCTCAACTAGACACTGAGGGTGGTAGAGTTAGGACAATGATTTAGTSCTTGAGGTATGGAGTATAGGAGGTTGACAACTGGGCTTCTCATTATTTCTGTACACTTTTTGGCCTTTAAAGTTTTTTTTTTTTTTTTTTTTAAAGATAATGTGGGCAAGGGCCTCATTATTGGTGTTTACTTTTTATGGAGGTCCTGATTACTTTTTTTTTTTTTTAGTTGATGTTGATCATACTTAATTTTAACCCCCTCTAAGTTACATGCTAACTGGTAATCTCTTTCTAAGGAGAAAGCCTATTTATTAATCTATTTTGTAACTAACAGGACAGCTGTCTTATTTGCATATGCATATTGATCTTTTTCAAAAATTTGTCTTGAAACTGGTGGCCAGTGTTGAACATTTCTCATCTTTATATGCTCTGCCTTTCTGTGGGTTCCAGAATGGAATGTGAGTCACCATCATCTTTTGAATTAMATTTACAAGACACATATCTTTTGTCCCTATAGAGTGGTTCTGTGCCCTTACTGAATATTGCCTGGGTCATCTTTGACCAGTCTTGTATTSACTTTCTATAATATTTGGAGGCATTCCAAGCCGTTCATAAAATTAGTAGTTGATGAGAACACAGCTCACAAACTTTCAACCCAATCATTGATCCTAAAGTAACCTTGTTATCAAGGCCARTGTCTTCATGGGAGGTAGTTCTTCACCTGTTTTCCTTGGTTTTAAATGTTGTAGTTTATATGCAAATGACTAGTTTAATTCTGGCAGCACTTGTTCTAAATTTTAGGAAGTACAATCTTGTAGGAGAGTCTAATGATCATAGTGGTAGTTCTTCTATTCCTCTTGGTTTTCTGTTTATTTGGTTTGGTTCAACCAATGTTTGTTTGGTTGTGTGTGCTGGGCATACAGAACAGAAAGAGAACTGTTCTCCACCTTCATAGCATTTCCACTCTGGTAGGTTCTGTCTCTCATTCTTTCAGATACACAAACACATTTGCACATACACACACACACACACACACACACACACACACAACTACACATAAGTATAATTTTGTGAATAGTAACAGTATAATTTTGTATATAATGATAGGCAGAGTAATGTACAGAGTACATAGAGAGGAAAAAGGGTTTCCTGCTTCTTGAATATGTTAAGAGGTGCCTTTTAAAAAGGTCATTTGAGCTAGGTCTTGGAGGAGATATTTTCAGGAGCTGAGGATTGAGGGTCATATTGAAGGACATTCCAAGGAGAATAGCTTTGGCCCAAAGCACTGTGTAGGAAGCATTGTGTGTTCTGGGACATGTAAATGATTTAAGGTTTCCTGGGAGTGACATTTTTCACACTTTTTTTTTTCTGGGTACCAGGAATTGAACTCGGGGGGCACTCGGCCACTGAGCCCCATCCCAACCCTATTTTGTATTTTATTTAGAGACAGGATCTCACTGAGCTGCTAGGCACCTTGCCATTGCCAAGGCTGGCTTTGAACTCCAAATCTTCCTGCCTCAATCTCCCAAACCGCTGGGATTACACCTTTGTTAGATGCAATTCCTTTTTTTTTTTTCTCTCTCTCTCTCTTTTGCATTAAGACAATTTTTTTTGTTGTTGTAGATGAACACATACCTTTATTTTATTTTTTTGTTTTTATTTGGTGCTGAGGATGGAACACAGTGTCTCATGCTTGCTAGGCAAGGGCTCTACCACTGAGTTACACTCCCAGCCCTCTCTTTTGCATTTTAATTGATTTAATGAGCACTTGGTAAAATGGGGACACAAAGAAGCAAGTAATACTAGGCTTTCAAGAAATTTGCACTTTCACTGAAAAGTATGGTAGTAAGAATCTCCGGGAAATAACGTGCATTATAAATTTGACTTAAATTCCCTCTGATTAAGAAATACAGTTCTTACTGAGAAAATTATCCTAACAATGTTTCATATCACTTATTCTTTTGTAACAAAGTGACAGGATGTTTTAGTCTCCATGGATCATTTAGAAGAGGAACTTATAAGGCATTTAGGGTCATTAGGTGCCGAAAGTGTGTATGGTGCTTCTGTGCATAAAGTCAGTTAATGGCTTGTCTGATGTTTCTGATGGTGTGACACTGCCTTGGCATAAAAGCACAATTGATGGCCATCTCTTCTGTGAAACCTTTCTTMCAAAAAGTAGGGTTTCTTTCCTCTGAATTTCCGTAGCATATTTTGTGGTTGTTGTTTTCTGATGGCAACTTATCTATTTAGTTTATTGGCGGAGTTGTCTATCTCCGCCAATAAACTAAATAGATAAAATGAAGGCATTTTTAGACCCGTTGTAGTCTCTGCGTGTCCAAGGTACCTCACATATCTTAAGCATTCTGTAACAATTCCTCCAATGATCTGTTGCCTTTTATGTGGATACAATATTGAAAGATTACCTGAGGAATAAAGGATATCAGATACTTTTGAAAGACATCTTTATAAAATATACTTTTGCTATACTTATCTTCCCCAGAACCCTGTGAGACTTATCGAATCTCCCACTTTACAGATGAGGCAACTAAGGCTTCATCGGGATGGAAGAAACTTTGAATGTCATTCCATGTGTGATTAATGTCTGCGGAGGCAGGAGGGTGAGAGAATGGTAAAAATAAATAAGCTCTGTATGGGTGGATAAGGCTACAGTTTGTAGACAGATCTGGAGAGCTTATTTCTTTTCTTTTTTTACCAGACTTTCTGCTTAGCCTTTAGCATTTGATTTGAGGAGTGGAAAGAAGGAAAAGGAAGCAGACCTACACAAAGCGAGTTGGCTATGATATTCTTTTTGTGTATAAGACAAAAATCTTATAGGAATGACTAAAAAACAAATGATAATTAAAACTGGTGTAAGCCAGGTGTGGTGGCCCATGCCTGTAATGTCARCCACTTGGGAGGCTAAGGTAGAAGGATCACAAGTTTGAGGCCAGCCTTAGCAACTTAGTGAGGCCCTAAGCAACTTACTGAGACCCTGTCTCAAAATGAAAAATAAAAAGGGCTGGGGATGTGGCTAAGTGGTAAAGTGCCACTGGGTTTCATCCCCAATACCAAACCAAACCAGGCAACCCAACAAAAAATGAAAGCAAAAAGCCAAACTGATATAAGCAGATAAAAAAAAAATTGGTTGGACCTCTTATGGACTCTTCTTACGCTTGTGAAGTTCAAGAGTTTCTGTGGCCTCAGACATAGTGAGATTTCAGGCATCAGGAACTTCTGCAAGTCTCTCTGTCTCTTGGATCTTCTTTTTTTGTATTATCTTTGCCTTCAGGTAATCTCTTTTCCTACTGATAAACTAGTTGGAGGAGAAAGAATTCCTCTTTCCTGGTAGCTCCAGCAAACATTCTAAGGTGAACTTTCCCTGGGTCATGGGCTTATTCCTAGTTTCATCTGTGTGGTCAAAGAATGCCACAGGTCATTTGCAGTGGTACACGCCAGCAACTCAGGAGGCTGAGGCAGGAGGATTGTGAGTTTGAGGCCAGTCTGAGCACCTTAGTGAGACCCTAAGCAACTTAGTGAAACCCTGTCTCAAAATAAAAAATAAAAAGGAGTGGGGAACGTAACTCAGTGGTAAACTGACTAAAGTACTTCTGGGTTCAGTCTCCAGTACCCATCCCCCCAAAAAAATAAAAAGAAAAAAGAATGCTATGATTGGCCAGGCCTGAGTCACAGGAGGTGGAGTCGGGCCATCCAGTCCCACTTGGGCCACAKGTACTTAGTTTAAAAGGTGTTTTTCTTTTTTTTCTCTCTCTGTCCTTTCTTGGTGGTGGTGGTTTTGCAGYACTAGGGATTGAGCACAGGGTTGTCCTGTTGCTAATTTATATCCCCAGTCCCTTGATTTATATCCCCAACTCCCTTTTATCTTGAGGCAGGGTATCACTAAGTTGCCTAGGTTGGCCTTGAACTGARATCCTCCCACCTCAGCCTCCTGAGTAGCTGGTATTAGAATCATGTGCCTGATTAAAAAGTGGTTTTCAAAAAGGAYTTTGGGTACTTTCACAAGAAGTAGAGGAACTGGCAAAAATAGTAGGGACGAGGGGCKTAACTCAGTGATGAGGTCAGGTCATGGGCTCAATCCCTAGCACTGAAAAAAAAAAAAAATTATAAAGATAGATGCCCGTTGCTCTTGGCCTGAGTGTGTGGCCCATTCACGGTGATAACAGAGTCACTCTTGACCTCAGGTAGGCTTCTGGCTKGAGTGGCGGTGGCAGATGCTGTGCGGTGGCTGAAGAGGTAACTCATCATTAGACTCAGGAGGAATGAATTCTTCCTTGACCCTGGACTTTCCATAAAGACTCAGTTCAAAGGGCCTTTTTATTTGGATTGGGGTCCTGAAGAGTGAACCGCCTCTGCTACGGGTTTTACTAGAGGGACATTTTATATTGATAGGACAGAAAACTTGACTTTATCGGTATACATTAGAAATTTCAGCAGTGCAGAACTATTTTGTGTATCGCCTCCGGAATGGAAACTTAAGTCTGTTCAGTGCTRTGGCGGTTAATGAAAGAAGAAAAAGAAACTAGGCCAGTAGTCCACAGTGGAGGTGGCGATGGTATTAGCTTTGTTGGTATTCACCTTGAGGCAGAAGGGGATGAAAAAAATTAGGTAATTGTAAAAATCCATTAGGCACAACAGGCAGAGCTTCCTGTGGGTCTTGTCTGAGCCCAGGGGTGGACAAGTGTTCTCATTCCGGGCCCCACTTGCCTGCTCCTGGAAAGCGTGATTTTTTTTCTCTAAGTCCTTTATGGAACCTTTTATTAGATCCACTTAATAATCATTTTAAGAGTATTCTGGAAACTTTTGCCTCAAGTCTTTAGTTTTCCTCCTTCTTTGTAGAGCTGCTTAAAATTCTGACTTCTAAGGACTGCGGAATCTTGTGTCCTAGACACTTAGACAACAATGAGAATAATGGGGCCGCCCAGTTCAGTCCCTGAGCTGAGGCTGTTACCCAGGTTTCACTGCGACACAGACATGTCACCCATGTCTGGGACTGTGTTATAAATGAAATCGAATTTCTATAATTATAGTTATGAATAATTCAAATAATAAATCCTCATTATATTCATGATCTCACTCATTCAGTCAGTCAAGATTTTTTGCATGTCTACCAAGAACTGCACGCCATGCTAGGTGCTGGGGAATATAGAAATGAGAATATTAACTTCCAGTTCCCAGTGAGCCTAGGATCTAGGGGGGATGAAAACRGCTAACTAAGATACCAAGAGAGAGAGAATTGTTAGGATAGATAGAGGCTTGGATCAGAGGAACCTAAATGGGACACCCSTAACCCAGGCAGCCAGGGATGGGTAGGCAGGCAAGTCTTCCTGGGGGTAATCCTTGAACAATGACACCATCTACAGAGGCAGAGTGGTTCAAGAAGTGCAGCTGAGGGCTGGGGATGTGGCTCAAGCGGTAGCGCGCTCGCCTGGCATGCGTGCGGCCCGGGTTCGATCCTCAGCACCACATACCAACAAAGATGTTGTGTCCGCCGAGAACTAAAAAAAATAAATATTAAAAATTCTCTCTCTCTCTCCTCTCTCACTCTCTCTTTAAAAAAAAAAAAAAAAAAAGAAGTGCAGCTGAAGTACAGAGTAGGAAAGGTGGAGAGAACTTAGACTCTGATGTTTAGATATTTTACCCTGAAAGGTCATGGGAATTCTTGAATAACTTAAGTAGGAAAATGATGTGATCAGGTTGACACTTACATTTCAAATAGATGGTACTTTGAAAATTTTTTAAAATATATGTGTGAATACTGAGAAATTTTCACCTTATCTACTAACCTTCCCCTCCAACAACCACCCCATGCATTTCTTGTGTATTTTTTCAGAACTGTGTTCTACAAATGGGAGCAAATACAAAAATATATGAGTCTTGTATTCTCTCTCAGCCTCTYTCCACAACCTCTCTTTACAAATGACAGCACTTCCTGTGTATGATTGTGCAATGTGCTTTGTTCACGTAGCTCTTTATCTTGGTCAGATCGATTCCTATCAGAATGTTAGATAYTTCCTTTTTTTCTTCTTCTGTGGTACTAGGGATTCAACCCAGGATTGCTCTATCACTGAGCCACATCCCCAGCCCTTTTCATTTTATTTATTTCGAGATAGGGTCTCCTTAAGTTGCAGAGGCTGACCTCAAACTTGTAATCCACCTGCCTCAGTCTCCAAGTCCTTGGGGTTACAAGTGTGCACCACTGTGGCTGGTTTTCTTCTTTCTTAAGTCTGCTTAATTTCCCATTTTCTAGTCCACAATTAATGAACATTTAGGTTGTGGAAAGAGGCTGAGAGAGAATATTCCAGCCTGTTTCTGTTATGGAGCTGTTATAAATTGTGCTGGACATAGAAGGCTTGAGTTTTGCAGAAAGCCCTGCAGGATTTTTTTTTTTTAATGATCTTTTTATCTTTATTTTATTTATTTATTTTTATGTKGTATTGAGGATCGAACCCAGTTCTTCACATCTGCTAGGCAGGTGCTCTACCACTGAGCCCCAACACCCCAGCCATCCATGGGAATTTGATACTTGCTGAATGAATGATTGAATGGAAGGTGGATGATTTAGAAGTAAGGAGGGATATGAACCTGCACAGTTACCTGGGAATAGAAAAGAGGGAGAGATGTGAGGGAGATATGTGTAGCAGCATCAGAAAGGCTGGGTGACATATATATGCTGGGATTAGGGAACGGAAGTAGCCAAGGATGATTTCTTGGAATAGTAAAACACATTGGGCAAACGCTATGTTTATTACTCACATAGATTAGAATAGTACCATTTTTATCAGGAAATGCATGCACAGAATTGTAGCAATCACCAGCAAAGAGAGTCAATTGGAATGGAAAGTAGAATCAAAGATAATCATTCATTTCCTGATTTCTGTTTCTTCCAATCTTGTTTTTGTGATTCTTCCACTCCTATTGCTAAGCTGTATTCTTTCTTTTTATCTCAAGTAATTATCTCTTTGACTTCTTTGTTTTTTCCTCTTTGATTTGAAGTCCTGTTTGTAGAGACTGACAATTCTTAAGCTGCCAAGCAGTCTCTGAGGTGATTTTAAAGTTAGACATTGCATCTGCAGAGTGCACTTCTGACAGATGGTATGGTTGAGAGTCTGCTTTTTATTGAGATATAATTGACCCATCATACAATTCACTCTTAAACTGCACCAATCACTGCTTTTTTAGTGTAGTCACACCATTATTACTATCTAATTCTAGAACATGTCATCACCCCTGAAAGAGACCCCATACTCATTAGCAATCATTTCCCATTCCTATCTCCCCCAGCCCCTGACTGTCACCAACCCCTTTCTGTTTGTGTTTTCATTCTGGATATTTCACATGAATCAGTTTACACAATATGTGACCTTTGAGAAATGGATTCTTGCATCTCGAGTCTCATTGTCGAGGTCCATCCATGTTGGAACATGAATCAGCACTTCATTCTTTTTATGACTGAGCATTATTTCCAATTAAGGTACACTACGTTTGCTACGTATGCATCAGAAGATGGATATTTGAGTTGTTCCCACTTTTGCCCATTATGAATAACGCTACTGTGAATGCTTTTGTGTGGACATAGTTTCATTTCTCTTGGATAAGTATCTGGGGGTGACAAGGGGGCGTCCTATGTTAACTCTTTGTTCATTTCTTGAGGACCTGCTGAGTTTTTTATGTATTGCCTTCACCATTTTACATTTTTTTTTTTGTAGGGGGTGGGTATCAGGGATTGAACCCAGGGATACTTAACCACTGAATCACATCTGCAGCCCTTTCATATTTTATGTCGAGACAGGGTCTCACTAAGTTGCTTAGGGCCTTGCTAAGTTGCCAAGGCTAGCCTCAAACTTGAGATCCTCCTGCCTCAACCTCCAGAGCCTCTGGTATTACAGGCATGCACCACCATGCCCAGCTCCTGGACTTGCATTTTTTAACTGAAAACTTTCTGTACCATCCTCAGACCCTGTCCTCAGTGCTGGGAATACAGCTGGGAACTAGTGAACATAACAGTCCCAGTCTCTTCCCCCTGGGAGTTTAAGTTCATTTGTAAAGGTAGATAGGAAGAAAGTAATTGCAATTTGGTAAGGAATTATACAAAACATAGTAAGGAATTATTCAAAACATAAGCCCTTAGTAAACTTTTCAGATTTTTCTGTTTCAGTGATTTAAGCCCTTYCCATTATCTTTAATGGGGAAAATTCATGCAGTGATGCCTCTGAGTTCAATCCCCGGTGCCCACCCCCCCACACACAAAGAAGTCTTTGGCTAATCTGACTTCTTCATAAGAGGAGGAAATTAGGACACACAAAAGAGATACCAGTGATATACACACACAGAAAAAAGGCCACATGAGCTCATGGTAAGAAGGTGGGCATCTAAAATCTCAGGAGAGAGGCCTCAGAAGAAACCAAACCTCTGACACCTTGATCTTGGACTTCTAGTCTCTAGAACCCTAAGAAATAAATTTCCATTGTTTAAACCAAAAAAGAAAAAAAAATTAATGCAGTGAGTATTTGGAGATATTATATATGGCATTTTTATGTTTGTTTTTAAAATTAATATGAAAGAATTGAAAATGTCGAAGAAAATATATACATGTATGTAATGAAAAAATGTGGCATGCTCTCCCGGCACCTGTGGCTCCCCATTAGACAATTTGGTTTCTATTAATCCTGTTTGCATCCTGTGTGCAAATTTAGGACACGTAGAATTTGGACTAAACAAATTACTTTCCTAAAGAATTTTCACCTTTTTTTTTTTTTTTAGTTCATGGTTCACCTTCATTGGGGTGTGGAGTGATTTTGCTAATTTTATGGTGATTTCCTGGTCGTGGTTACTAAGCAAGCATATGTGCTTACTGTGGACTGAGAACTATACGCCTTGCCCAGGTACAGTTTGTCTGGGATGCATGACTTCTGTGTCTCCCTGTTCACTGCAGATGGTCCCCATCCCTGCTGGAGTGTTTACAATGGGCACAGATGATCCTCAGATAAAGCAGGACGGGGAAGCCCCTGCAAGGAGAGTCACTGTTGATGCCTTTTATATGGATGCCTATGAAGTCAGTAATGCCGAATTCGAGAAGTTTGTGAACTCCACTGGCTACTTGACAGAGGTAATGTGATTGGGGACAAGAGGGGGAACTTAATCCTTTTCCATCGCTCTGAGAAATGCTTTAAATCACAGTGAACATAAGCCCTTTATTTATGTATTTCACTTAATTTCTCCAGAAACCCTGTGCAGTGGGTTATTCTTCAGGTAGCAGCTGAGGGTTAGAAAAGTGATTTGCTCTAAGTTGTGGGGCTAGTTACTGATGGAACTGGGATTCCAGCCTGCACAGTGGGACCCCAGAGCCTGTGTCCTTAACCATAAAGGTATGTTGTGTTAATGCTCAAGCATGCCAGAGATGGTGACTGTTCACTCAACTTTTTGAGATAACAGACGTCACATAAAATAAGGCCACTCTTCCCTGTCAATAACGTGCAACTTGGATGTTCCAGAAGCATTACATGTTTTAGGAATGATAGATGCCGGAGTACAGGTTTTCATTTTTGTGGCTTTATTCCAGTGCCTCGATGGTTCACAGGATCCTCTGTGGCAGTTCCTGGCATTATCCCGTGGTCACTGAACCACCAATCAGGGCTCTGGAACTGGATGTTTGCCCTAAATGAGAACAGGAAGGGGAAGCTTTGGAGTTTATGAGCATTTCTATGAGGCTCTGAAATAGACTTGTTTTCTAAAATGCATCCCATTTTCTCTTGCCAAAAACTTTCCCCTTGTCTTGAGTATGTGGAGTTCCTGTTTTCTTTTCTTTTTTTTCCTTTTTTAAGCACCAACGATCTTTTTTTTTTAATTTAAAAGCATTAATTTGACAGTGCATATGAAAAGCAAAATAATGTTCAGATAGGATTTTGCATTCTCATATTTCTTTGAAATTTCCCCAAATATACAAAGTGGTTATAAATCTTTTTTATAATATTTGTCATAAGCAAACTTCCGTGTTCTTTTTGTTTGGAAAGAATATTCCAAGGTCAAGTTGCCAGTACTCTGCTAAAGTTAGAAGATTTCGTGGGAAGAAGGCTTTCCTTAGACCAGGGTTCTCCATGAAGATTAGATAGAATAAGCAGAATTTAGGCATCCATGAGCACAGAGGAGGAAAATTTTCAGCTGGATATTTCTACCTGAAATTTAGCATGCCCTTCAATTATGACACAGACAACAAACCATGGTAAACTTAGTACTGTGACTTTGTTACCAATAGAAATCACAGATTTCATCAGGTACGGTGGCGCACACCTGTAATCCCAGTGGCTCAGGAGACTGAGGTAGGAGAATTGCGAGTTCAAAGCCAGCCTCAGCAACTTAGCCCTAAGCAACTCAGTAGCACCCTTTCTTTAAATAAAATATTTAAAAAGGCAGGGGATGCGGCTCAGTGGTTAAGTACCCTTGGGTTCAATCCCTGGTACAAAAAAAAAAAAAAAACGACAAAGAAATCACAGATTTATTTTCTTATTGTTATTATTCCAGATATTTTGATATTATTCCAGATATCTTGAAATACCTTTTGCATTCATCCCACTTTGAAACAGGATAATTACGAGAACTAGTATCAGATCTTACTTAATATGTTAATAAAAAGCATACAGGTGGGACTCGGGTTGTGGCTCCATGGTAGAGCACTTGCCTGGCAGGTGTGAGGCACTGGGTTTGATTCTCAGCACCACATAAAAATAAAAGAATAAAGTAAAGGGCTGGGGATGTGGCTCAAGCCGTGGCGCGCTTGCCTGGCATACGTGTGGCCCGGGTTCGATCCTCAGCACCACATACAAACAAAGATGTTGTGTTTGCCGAAAACTAAAAAAAATAAATATTAAAAAAATTCTCTCTCTCTCTCTCTTAAAAAAAAAAAAAAGAATAAAATAAAGGCCCATCAACAACTAAAGAAAATATTTTTTTAAAAAAAGCATACAGGTGACTGTAACAGCCATTTGTTTTATTAATATTTGGATGTAATGATTGTTTTAATAGTCTTATTGATTTTATTTTATACATTTAAATGTTTCATTCTGAGAAGGAGGTTTCTAAGCTTCAGAATGATGCCAGAGGTTGTTGGGTACGGGGGCTCAGATGCCCTACCTTGGACAAAATGCTTCATTTTTTTGTAGCACTTTACAGATTCCCCCCCACCCCCCACCCTTCAACTTTATTTTGCATCCCACGCCCCTTGCCAGCCCCACTGGTCTTGTTTTTACTCCTTGAGAAACAGACCTTCTTTCCCAGCCTGGGAGCTTAGTTCGTATTTTTCCTCTGCTTGGAATCCACAGCTGCTTTACTTATCCTCTTTTTACAAGGCTGTCTCCTTCTCCTTCTTTTTCTTTTTTAATTTTTTGGGAGTCAGGGTGACCTTGCTGAGGCTGACCTTGAACTTGCAATCCTCCTGCTTCCGTCTCCCGAGTAGCTGGAATTGCAGATGTGTCCACTGTGCCTGGCTGCTGCTTGTTCTTGTCATCTCAGCTTGATTATCACTTTTTCAAGGAGACTACCTCTGTTCACTCTGTCAGAAGGAGGCTTTTGTTGAACTTTTTTTTTCTTTTTTTACCTTACAAGGTGAAATGAAGTTATAATCATTTTTTTCTTTCTTCATTGGGCATGATTTTTTTCTGTATCGGTACACTTAAGCACAATGAAGACAGGGATCATGCCTTTCTGATATTGACCTTGTGTCCCCTCATTTAGTTCCAAATCCAGCGCATASTGGGTGTTGGGTAGATAGTGTTTGTGGAATGAATAAAGGGCTTGGTTTCTTAGGCATGGTGATGTCACCAGCAAATACAACATCTGGGGCAAGGAAAGGATGGTAAGCGCCACCTAGAAGGGGAGCTTGAGGTGCCAGGGTAAGGCCTGAAGTGCAAGGATGCAGTGCTCAGTCAGTCTCATCAGGTGAGGACAGCATGGGACCAGGGCAGAGCTCTGGAGTCATGGGAAGTGCGGCTATAATTAAAGTAACAACATGGGAAGCTGCCCAGCGGTTGACCAGTGTGTTTATCTGGAACCACTAGTGTCAGGACTACAGGTGTGACCTAGGCAGAGTTTTTGAGCCTTGCCACAGCCCCCAGAATCAGAATCCCCAGGGATGGGGAGCAGCAGCCTCTGGTTTTCACAGGCCAAGGTATGGTCACAGAGCTGGAGGCTGCTGRCCCAGTGTGAGAAGTGCAGAAAGCAGGGACAGTGCTCTGAGAACAGCAGCATCTTAGGAACAGTAGGAAGAGACCATGTATGTCAGGGGATGAGGATGAATAGTCAGATATGTGGAGGAAAACTAGAGGAGGAGTAGAGTCACGGATGCCAAGGGACAGAGGACCCAGTTTTCAGAACCAGGTCTCACGCAAGGAAGAGAACCAGGTCTGTGAGGGATTGAGACGTTCATATTAAATAGAATTATTAAAGTTCAGGTTTCCATCTAGTGCTTAAATTAACCACTTGATATTTATAAACACAATTAATACCTTGGTGGAGCCAGAATGTGTCAGAATATCAGCAGTGGCATTTAGTTATTTTTGCTGAATTCCAGGAGGAGGACAAAGGACAAGGCTGGGTTACACAATCTCATATGTATAGATTTCTGTTATTTCCCTGGGCTATTTGTAAACTTGGGTAAATGTGAACAGTTTGTTCTGAAAAGCTAATCTCAGCACCCTGTGCAGGGGTGCATGCCTGTAATTCCAGAGACTGAGGAGGCTGAGGCAGGAGGATTGCAAGTTTGAGTCTAGCCTGGGTAACTTAGCAAGACCCTGTCTCAGAATTGGAAAAAGGGCTGGGGATATAGCTCAGTGGTAAAGCACTCTTAACAACTAAATGAAAATAGGTTCAAAGAGCGACATTAACCTGTTTTAAGAGGGAACCAGATGACTATAAGTCATTTCTGGGTCTTGTGGGAAGATGTAGGAAAAACTCAGGTTCATTGGGAGAAGAATCCCGTTAGCAGTGTGCAAAGAAGATGGCCTGCGTGCACCACATCACTGCAACCTTCTCTGGGTTTCTATTTCTTACCTTCCCTGTAGGCTGAGAAGTTTGGCGACTCCTTTGTCTTTGAAGGCATGTTGAGCGAGCAGGTGAAGACTGGCATCCAGCAGGCAGTAAGTAACCTTTAACAGGCTCTCCGTTACTGCTCATGGTTCCTTGGAAAAGGTCTGGGTGAGAAATCCAAACTCAAGGGCCCCCTTCCTCTCCCTCCTAATACCTAGCCATTCTGTGGCTACAGATTTGCCCAGAGTGACAGGCCCACAGGTGGATGGTATCTGAGGAAGTGTCTGTCTGCCTTCTGTCCTGGGCGTCCCAGTTATGCATTGTGTTCCTAAGTGCAGCTCCAAACACTAGTGGGTGTTCTTTATCATAGGTGTGTGGAGATTGGAGAGCCAACTGAATGTCCRTTTCCGTGCTCTTGATATCATCAGGGGCCAGGTGGAGACGGAGCTTCCTGTTCTGACATTCATGAACTCACATGGTCACAGCAGTTTCCACGGAGGGCCCTTTGCTATGAATGTTCATAATGAAGGCTGGGAACTGGTCCTTAGAGGCAGGGGTGTACTGTGTCATAGGGAGGACCCTTGGGATTTGAACTAGGTGTGTTTCTCTTAGTCTGGAAATGGTGCAGTGTGCTTCCATAATAATAGAAGTATTTCATACATTGGGTGGACGAGTGAATTCACAGCACTATTTAAATAATTACCTCCTTGTTCTTTTGAATATTGATCAAAATTAGAGAAGACTCAATTTTATGTTAGCTGTACTACTGCAGTGTATATATAGAGATTATGTATTAATTATATCATAATTAATTTAGACTCCTGTACCAGCCATTTCAGCAAGGTCGTGACGTTTATGCATTTGCTTGTGTATATATCTCACAAAAATTTAAGAACAAGGGAAGGTGTGAGGCCAGGCTGGAAAGTCACGCAGCAAAGGGGGCAGAGAACGCAGAGGCAATAGCAGACAGTGGGGGAGGGGTTAGTCTACTCATGGGAGACTGACTAAGATGCAGATGTGCTGGGTATGGTGGCATGGGCCTGTAATCCTAGCAGCTCCAGAGGCTGAGGCAGGAGGATCACAAGTTTGAGGCCAGCCTCAGCAACTTAGGGAGGCCCTAAGCAACTTAGAGAGAGCCTGTCTCAGAATAAAAAGGAAAAAAGACTGGGGTGTGGCTCAGTGGTTAAGCACCCCTGGGTTCAATCCACAGTACCAAACAAACAAACAGATCTCAAGATGAATCTAGTTCCAACYTCCCTATAGTTTCCTTTGAATTATTGCCTGCATTTCATCTTTTTATTATTCTCAGTGCTGGGGATGGAGCCCAGCATCTTGTGCACGCTAGACAAGTGCTCTACCACTGAGCTCCACAGTCCTACTCCTGAACTTCATGTGTTGGCGGCATTATGTCCTCTCTGGAGAGCAGCACTACCCGAAAGATTGAGCTATCCTGGCTCACATTTTCTTTCTTTCTTTCTTTCTTTCTTTCTTTTTTTTTTTTGAGCTAGTGCATTCCACATTTTCTTTCATTTCAAACTAATGTAGCAAGACTTGATGTGGGAGGGGAATAAAGTAAAACAAGTCTCAAACCATGTTTTAGTGAGTCAGGTCACTTTTTCTGTATTTGAGATAAGTGTTTGAAAAATGTGATTTGGCTCCATTTGAATTTCACATTTTCTTTGCTCTTTGCAAGTTTATATCACAGGTCTGTTATGTAATCTGATCTCCCCATCTTTTTTTTTGTTTTTCCCAAGGGCTTGGTGGTCAATTCTTGCTGGTGTTGATGACCCAGCAGCTTGGGATATGGTGTCTTGTTTTAAGATACAGAGTTGGGGCGAGGGAGGGCATATGTGCTTATTTCTGTTCTTTGTGCGTTCAGATACAGGACGTCTTGTCCCTGGAGAACCTACAAACACATTGGGCATGAAGGCAGAGGTGAATTATTGCTGGGCTCCAAAGGTACCCTTGTAAGTGCATAGGGAAGTGTGTGCACCAGTAACCAGGATGAGGACAAGTACCTCTTACTGGATCTCAGTGTTGTCACTTGCTTAAATGCTCATAATGGAAAAGCAAACCTTTTAAGCTTGTTTGGAGAAGGCTGAATGAATACAATCTGTGGGTGATAGAAGAGCTCAGGTTTGTTTTCTTCATCTCCTGAGGCCTGACTTAGTTTGATGCATCAGATCTCTCCCCATCTCAGTAGTGGGGTTGAACCCAAGGGCTGTATCACTGAGCTACACTCCAGCCCTTTTCTAAAATTTTGAGACAGAGTCTCCCTAAGTTTCTTAAGGTCTCATTAAGTTGCTGAGGCTGGCTTTGAACTTGTAGTTCTCTTGCCTCAGCCTCCCCAGTTGCTGGAATTGTAGGTATGCCCCATCATGCCAGCAATAGATCYTTTTTAAATTCAGTGTTTCTAGAAGCATAGGACATGAAATGATTCATAAGATAAATTTAAGATGATATTAGGTGGTATATGGGAAAGCATAAAATCACCTTGAATCATATAATGAGCAGTATCTTCCCTTTTCAGATGTGTCTCAAGATTTGATTAAGTCATAGAGTCTCATTTGAATGCTGTCATGTCCTTAACATTAAAAAAATTAAAAAATATATTTATTTAATTATTCTAATTAGGTATATATGACAGCAGAATGCATTTTGATTCATTGTCCACAATTGCAGCACAGCTACATCCTGTGCAACTAAAGAAATGAAAAGCTGTCCCTGTCTTCCCTCCTGGTTTATCCCTGGAAGAATACAGGACCTGCAGACTGGCCCATATCTGAATTTTGCTGATTGTGCTCTGACAGTGCAGTTCAGCTCTTCTCTCTGTCATCGGTGACCTGCTAATTGGTAACCACATCCTCAGGTCTGATCAGACCCATGTTCGCTCCATGGCAAGACATTAAAGTGGTGTCTTCCCCCGTAGGAGGCATCAGATACGTGCTCTTTCCGCTTCTCTTCATGCTAGCTCTTGTTAATACCTGGTGGCTAACTCCAGGAATTTATTGGGGGTTGTAAGAGTGATTATCTAAATAGTTCTTTTTCATTTATTTATCTACTCTTTTCATTTATTAATGGGGATATTTTCATAAAGAGGTCAGTTCTCAAGCAGGGGCTGTACCTCACTGAGGCACTGGGTTCGATCCTTAGYACCACATAAAAATAAATATATAAAAAGATATTGTGTCCATTTACAACTAAAAATAATAATAATAATAATAAAAAAGAGGTAAGTTCGCTCCTCTTACTATTTTCTTAACCATTCATATGGGTCATAGAAGAAAAATAGGTAAATGAATCTTTACTAGCTTTTAAAATAATGAGTTGATTTCCCATTACTCTGTATAGGTGATGGGTTTTTTTCTTTTTCTTTTTTTAAATTGAACTTTTCRTTTTTCAGGTAATTATAGATGCACATGTGGTTGCAAAGAAATAATGCAGGGAGATCTTGTATACCCCTTACTATGTTTCCTCTATTGTTCTCATAGTAAATAATTATACTATATTTTCACAACCAGAAAATTGGAAATTAGTCCAACCCACTYGTCTTCATCTGATTTCACCAGTTTTATATGTATTCATTCTCTGTGTGTATACAGTTCTGTGCAGTTTTATCATAAATGTAGATTTATGTACTTGGAACCAGATTTTTAAAATCATTCTTTATGAACTCAGAATTTAAACTCATGTTGTGGGTTTGATTCACTTGGAATCATGATCCCTTGATTTTTGAGCACTGGATGCCATTTCAAGTTCTTGGGAATCCTTTTTTTTTTTTTCTCTCTCTTTTTTAACAGCTATACTGAGATATAATCTACATGCTATGAAATATACCTTTTAAAGCAAACAGTTCCAGGGTTGTTTTACCATGTATGTATGGAGTTGTTTTGCCATGTATGTGCCATCGTCACAGAATGGAATAGGACACTTGCACTTTACTCCCCATTCTGACSTTCTGCTTTGGACAGCTGATTCTGAGTCCTTTTGAACTGACCCTAGGAACCCTTTGTAGCTTCTTTGCTTTTTCTAAGGCAGGATATATCACCCTCCCCTGCCTGGAATTGCCCATTACTCTAAGCAGACACTACTTTTTCTAGAGAATAGTGTTTCTARAACCTTCTCCAGGTTCCAGGTGAACTTGCTGCTGTTAGGTTTGTGGTTGTTTCTAGATCTCCCAGTGGACAGAGCTAAGATACAATGCCCTGTGAGTCCACATTGATACGTCAGGTTTTTAAATCTGTTCTGCATGACATCTTTTCCTCCTTTTTTTTTTTTCCTTTTCTTTTCCTGACACCGGTAATCCTGATTCCCAAGGACATAGGGGATAGAATTAGAGTAGTCCATAATTACTCATTTGTTTCATCTCAGATTACATACATAACAGTCTCAAAATAACAACACCAATGCTATCATCACCAGTGTAATTACCAAGAACAGGTTTAAAAAAAAMCAAGACTTTTATATATGCTTTTCCTGTTTCTCCCCAGTTTTAAAATAGTCGCACTAGTTCTGTATTATTGGAACATATGTCCATGCATAGAGTACTCTCTGCTTTTCAGCTCCTGTTGAAGCTTAGCTATACAAGGAACCACATGGTTGGTGCTTGTGACAGTGTGGCCCCAGTCATTTGACTGGACAAAGCTCTTCTCAACCAGGTTCTTCAGGGAGTAGCCAGGGGACATTGTTCTCCAGACTTTCACATGTTGGCAGTGCTTTGTTAGTACTCTTTCTACTTCACAGTCACTTTTGTTGGACATGAAGTCTTTAGTTCACATGTTTTCCTTCAGTGTTTTACATACTTATTTTTCTTTTGGATTGAAGTGCTGATAATCTCATGTTCTTCATCTTCGGAGTTACTCATTACTTTTGCCTGAAAACCCAAGGATTTATTTTTCTTTATTATCTAGTATCTTGCTGTTGGTCCTTGTGGTTAGTGTTTTTCACTTACAGTTTGCTTTTTCTATGTGTTGTACTTTCACAATTTTTTAAACATCAAGAGAATTTTAAATAAATTACTATTTTCGTGTCCTGTCTTCAGGAATCTGTAGGATTTTTTTTTTTTTAGATTTTTTTTTTAGTTGTAGGTGGACACAATTCCTTTATTTTT